GTAAGAAGCTATAACTTTGAAATGGTTAACGTCTTTACATACATAGACACAAGCATTGATAATAACGTCAGCACGGAAATAAAACAAAGAATCTTCACTCAACCTCAGTCACTTACTCAGCAGGAAAACAAAAATCAAAATATATAGAATGCTGATAAAACCAGTTTTAACGTACGCGACATGTGTGAGACATAGATAACGTGTAAAAGGGAAAGCCTCTTCGAAAGGAAAATACTGCATAGGATCTTTGGAGGAGTTAACATCAATGGTACATGGCGTCGAAGATGTAACAATAAGCTATATCAATTGTAATTGCCATGACATTGTAACCTATGTAAAGGTACAAAGACTTAGCTGGGCGGAAGTTGAATGGGACGCTACCATTATCAGAGTCAGAAACTGACATATGGCTATGAATAGGATTTGGAAACAGAGGCTGGAGTAGGCTCTGACCCACAATGGCCTGTCGTGCCACTAATGATGATATGTGTAAAGTAAAATTCAATTAATTATTCGAGTAATAAAAGAAAGCAAATCCATAAAAAAATATTGACTTCACTCTATTCACTCAATAAGTTAAGCTATGTAAATAAGTTAAGCCATGTAAAATTTTCTTTTATTAATTTTACTTTTTTTACAAAAATCTTTATGCTATAGTTCACAAAAAACTGTTATATCTAAAATTAAAATATGCATAATTTATAAATAAAACGCAATGTCATTATTTTTATCAAACAATGAGATCACAAGGACTTTTAATTCGTGCATAAAAATCCTTTTTGATGCTAATTTCCTCACTATTGTATTAAATTATAACATCAAAAGTGAGAAATTTTATGAGTTCTTTACTCGCATTATACAATATCGAAATAAATTAAATTTTTTTACATTACTTTTAATTAAAATCTATTTTATAAACAATTTTAAACTATTTATTATATAAAAATTTATACATTAGTGCAATATAATTTCAGCATCACACCATGATAATATGATACTAGTCCATTTAAAGCTTTAGATATTGCACATGTCACCTGAAATACAACTTTATCTTTTTATCATTTTCTGCCAAGTATCATCTCTTTTTGTGAGTTACATATCACACAATTCTCCTAAAAAGTAAAGAATACTATTACAAAATATATCTATAATAAAAACAAATAAAATTAATATATAAAAAATACACATACAATCAATTCAAAATTAGGTAGACAATCCTCATGAAAACAATGTTTACAATAAAATACAACCACGTTCCGCGGCTCTGAAAAATAAGATTTAAGTGCGAATTATACATAACCGTACAGTTAGAATTATAATTAATTACAAATTATAATTACTTATAAATACCTCTTACAATTATTTTTCTATGGCAAGCTCCACACATCTGATCATCTACAAAAGTACATCTGATAATAGTCTTACAAGGCATATTATCTTATAAAAAAAGGTAATTCACTAATTTGATATACATCATTATGTATATGGATATCAAATTTATTAAATGTTCAATATAAAAATATATTTAACCTTTCAATTTTTTTGAAATTTTTTATTTAAATGAGTAATTATAATTTTTATATTCACACGCACACGCGCATGCATAGCACGTTCACACACACACACACACACACACACACACACACACACACACACACACACACACACACACACACACACACACACACACATCCATATACACATGCATCCACACATATTAAGTCTTGTATTAAAAAATCAATCATTTTATGAAATTATATACCATCAATAAATATGCCCTTTTGATGACAATGAACAAGTCGCTCATGTAAATTAAAATAATCGTTAGATAATATTTTTTTGCAACCTTCCTGCACGGATATTTGTAGATTGTAGTCACACATCATTTTGACTAACGCTTTCTTTAAGCCTGGAATTTCTAAAGTAGGTTCTATCCTTTGTACCATGAGCCGAGGATCAACATAAGTACCAATTTTTTGAAGTAGAAACGTAATAGCCGCTAAAATATATAAAAATTCTTTTTTTATGTAATTATTAAAATGAAATTGATATTCACAACAGATTCTTTGATTTAAGGCTCTTGGGTAGTCACCGCGATCATATTGGAATTGTAACATCATAGGCGAGAAATGATACAATAAAATTTATTGCTACTTATTTGCAAATAGATATTTGATTAAATCAACACTTGAGATGGTTTTAAAACACTTGTGAAAATGACAGTTGCTACTCTTTTCCCGATAGTCAATAAATAACCGTAAAAAGCACGTAAAATGAAGTCTGTTCAGGCAGAAAACACACAGTTTGATAGTTATTAAAAGACGTGAAAAATATGCTTTTATAAAAGCATATAAAAGTCAAAGGTAACTTTAACTGTCATCCATTTTTATTAATTTGATAAATACAAAACAAGTCACATCTGTACAATTAAACACATAATAACGAAATTAGATGTAATAAAAAAATTTCGTCACACATCATTTATATAAAGATAAACAAAGACAAGAAAACAAATGAACAAGAACAAGGAATAAGATGAACAAGGATGTCGCTACCGTCAACGCAAATTCTTAACTGAGTATCCAGGAGCCTTAAGCATCTCATACATTTCCAAAACATTTGATAAAAACATTTTTGTGTGATTTGATTCATACCAGGTTTATCAAGTGAATAATTAACTAAATCATTCCACAATTCTTCATCGTTGTGTTCCTGACAAAATGCAATTGCACTTTCCATATCGTTGAGTTCTCTCGTCATGAGTGCCAATGCTTCTGATGTATTTCCGATTCTACCCAATAGATATACCATTTCCGGATAAAACCGTCGTTGACTACAAATATCCAGAGCCTGTTGTATCGGATAATTATCAGAGCGACGTAAAAGTGGTAATAATTTATCTCTTGAATAATCAGCATACAATCGCACCAGTAGACCATGATACTTGCCCTTTGAATCTTTCGTGTCTCTTTTATCTAAAGTATCTAAATACTAAGGAGTAGAATTAATAGTTAAATCCTAATATTCAAAACTGAAAGTTTCTATTATTAGTTTCTAGTAGTTTCCATTATAATATTTTAATAATTACAAAAAAAAAAAAATAATTAGAAAAATTACGAATATTGCATATGGATTAGATTGCAATATATTAAAGATATCTCATAAACACATATGTATCTATATAAAGAATGTGTAGACATTAATCAATTCATTACCAAATATAAATAACGATGATTATGTTGCAGTTTTTGTACAACCACATCAGACGGTACTCTATCCTTCTCCAAAAAAAATTGTATAGCACGTTCTGTATCCAGATCCATCAGACCTTCAATCATGTCATATACTGAATTATATAACTGATATTTCTGAATTAATTGGAAGACATCCTTGTGCCGCAACTTCAAGTACATAGCAAGTGCTTTGTCGTATTTGCCATCGTGGATATATAAAATAGCTAATGCTTCTAATAATACATTCTGTCGTTGATTGTGAACTAGCAAATGTTCCAATACTCCATTAACTACTGCTGCCACTGTATATAAATCCGGAGACCATTCCTTGACCAGTTGAAGGAAACCATCAGGATCCATCTTTAAATATTCATATAGGACCATTTCATAAATTAATGGATCAAGAATAACATCACCTCTAGGCAAGTAGGACGAAATTGAACGTAGTTGATGCACTCTAGCAAATTTATACACCTGTCTCGACAAGAAAAAATAATTTTATCACATAAAAGTTTTAGTCACAAATTTAAATATAATTACAAATAGTTATTATTCGTAAAATAAACATCATTGGAGATAGATAATATAATGTAATATGCAATAATAACGTTATATAATAAATTTTACATAATTTTACAACAGTAATTATTATATCACCTCTTCCTCCCACAATTTTTTATCTCGTCCTAAAATTTTGAGGCAAAGTTTTCCAGCTTCATCGTACTTTTCACATGCTAGTAAGTGATCCAAATAAATACGTCCTATATCTAATACGGTATGCCTTTTGCAATCCTTGCCATTGTTCATCGTTACAGCTTCTAGAGCTTGCTCAAACTTTCTATGACTCAATAACCATTCGATTCTATCATCTGTATCATACAAACTAGCTACCACGATGTCTTTTGGACTTACAATGAAAAATCTGTAAAAAATTTTTCTACATAAGAAACAGTTAATATCAAGAAAATTTGAATTCTCCAAAATGAAAACTATAATACACGCGTACGCGTCGCGTGTGTGTGTGTGTGTGTGTGTGTGTGTGTGTGTGTGTGTGCATTGTGATTAGCAGTAAATCCAGTTATTGTTATCAATGTTATTGTTCAATTTTGTTAAGTACATACTAATTTTAATGTATCAAACTAATTCTATCACCAACCTGTTTTCTTCTTTTAAACAATCCAAATGATAATCATTGCAACTATATTCCTTATAGCCACGTAAGGTGAGCGAATTTGCACACACCACCGAAAAATCCTGATATTTCGGTTCAACTACATGCAAAGTTGGTCGTTGATTCTTTCCATCTTCATCCAATTCCTTTAAGCATCCTAACAATACCAGTTGATTTTTCAATGGTGCTATACCAGATATATAAAAATCTACTTGGAATGTTGACACTGAAAAATGAAAAACAATTGAATTATTTTGGATATTTACTATTACAATTTAACACGAATCAATTTTAAAAATAAATTAAGCAAACAACGCAAATAAATAAATTTGTTACAAATATGTACAAATATATAAATAGAAATATTGTATAAATATAAATAAGCTCAAATTTCATTAATATGAAAATTAATCAAATACAAACGAGGCTTTTTTCAAAAATGTTCGATTAATATTCAGTTAATATACTTACAAACTACATTAAAGTTATTTTTCTGCATAGCATTCACTACACGCATGCATTTCATTAACATGTATGCATTTTTGCCATCATATTGACAATATAAAAAATAGTAAAATGGATATGAAACTTATTGCATACAAATTCTTCCATTTTCTTTTTTGTATTTATTTTACAGCTGATACAAAACAAATTGTGCCATATGTATTCTTGAGATTCCTAATATGTCATTACTAAATATAAAATCTATGTAAAATTTCAATCGTTTTAATATTTTCGTTTGTCAAAAATTTAATAATTATATGTTATATAACCTCATTAGATATTTTTTGCTCATTCATTGTGCTGTGTACTTTAGTACTAAACTAAATGATCATGTGAATAATCAAACAATGTTGATCAAGTCTAAACATGTTTATGGATTACTTAGTGAAATATTAATGACGTTAAAATGGCTTATTATTACGTCTCATTTATATTTGATTGATCTTCATGAATACATTTCAATTCGTCCAAGGAAAAACTCACAATATATATTTACATGTATATACATTACATGAATATGTTCATTCAAATATTTATTCATGTGATTATTTCTTCTCATTAATTTGAGCTATATCCATTTTAACATTTTTACATTCTCAAATGTGTTCTAAAAAGAAAGAAAATAAATATAATTTTATCAATTACCTGGATCCACTACAAACTCGGGCAAATCTCGATTGACCATTTCTTGCATGGTACGTTTCCTAATATGACAAATACGTACAATATCTACCCATCCAATCAATAATGTCTTATCATCTGACCACTGCAAATTACACCGATAGTGTTCTGGTGATGTCCTATAAAATACATACAAGATTATTAATATACAAGATAAAATATGTATGATAGAACAAAGTATGATAGAACAATTTTAATTCTAAATAAAGATTGAAATTCAGATAATTATAACAATTCTTTTATAATGAACAAGTACAGTAATCAGTAGTTTTAATAGAATTTTCTTTCGTTATTTGGTTTTTTAATGAAATTCGATTAATCCTGCAATATGCACAATATATGATTTTTTAGCAATGCTTACTCTGCAGTGCAAGACCATTTGATGAGTCCCAAAGAACATCTAGCATCGAGATCATAAACTCTCACACCAGTATCAGAAGCCCATGCCACAAAGCGACCAGACCATGCAACAGATCTAACTCCACCCTCTGCTTCACAAAGTACTGTTGGCTTCATTCTGGCAAGAAAAGTCTTCTCATAAAGCACTAGTTTGTCATCGCCTATGAATAAAATTATTAATTAAAGTTATTAATCAAAGATTATTATTATAAAAATTAATTCTAATTAATTTTACTTAATTTTAGTTTTAGTAAAGGATATCATATATGCATGCTAAAATTTAAGAATCGGCAGGAATAAACTGCAATAAAATTATCTATTCCTATGAAATAGGAACTATTTATTTGTTTGAGTTCAACCATATTTCATCTCACAAAAGCAATATTTGGACATGAAACTTTTTTATGTTTTATGTTTTATGTTATAAAGTTACAAAGCTTGCTATAGAACCGAGTTTTACAAATTTACTTTTCTTAAAAAATTATAATAAATAAAAGTATTTGTACTTCATTGCAATTAACAATACAAATCTGATAATATATTAAAATAACTTATTTCTTTTTAGACAAAAATTGCTATCTATAGCAACTAATCTATAGCAACTTACGTTAGTAATTTTCCTAATTATAAATATCACAATTACTATTCTTTTAATATTTTGATTATGATATGGACGAGAAGGAAGCCATCTAAATGAAGACTTCATAGAAATCTCCATAATCTCTCCTGCTAATCTTTAAGTATATTATTAAAATTTTAAATGTTAAACCTGTAATAAATCTTCTGCCACTACCATTCTTGTAATTCGGATCAATTGCTATGCTCTTGACTAGCCTACCCATGCTCATATTATGATTATTTTCTGTACTGTACAATCCATAAATGAAAACTTTTCCATCATCGCTGCAGGAGGCAATAAAATCTCCATTGTTATCTATAGATATCTGATTTACTGCCACTGTATGTACCTGTAGCGTTTTTGATTTTACATTATTCCCTTGATGATCTAAAAGATGGATCATTCCCCAATGTGATCCTAGACAGAGAAACTAAAGAAGAAAAACAAGAAAATTAATTTTTTGCATTTCTGCTTCTATCTATATTGATTCTTTATAATTCAAAATAACAATTATCTTTAAAATTCAAATTTTGTTTACAGATAATTTTTACCTTTGGATGTACAGCAATACAGCTAGCCGCATCATTTTGCAAAATATATTCAAGATCGTTACGTATTCTCACATATTTTAATCTAGGTTCTATTTCATCCATTTCTGAAGAATCAGAATCTTCCTGATTATTCTGTTCATCCTATAAATCAGTTTTCTATTGATAAATCAATATATATAATTCATTCTATATACATGCACTTCTATTATTATTATTTATTTTATTTTATTAGAAAAAATAAACATAAATAACATAAATTTTTGGATTTCATTAAAGAATACATAATTTTAAGAAATTGAAAAATAAACAAATTATTTAAAAAATTTAAAATAATTTTAAAAAAGAATATAATCAAATATAAAAATACAAATAAAGACGTGATATAGTAACTATTTAACATATAATAAAATCCATAATGAAAAATTAGAAGAATTAAAATTAGAAGAATATAAGAATTAAGAAAAGGAAAGCGAATGATACTTCACTTTGCTAGAAGTAGATTCCATTTTTTATTTTTTATCTTTGTGGGCAAAGTACACGTAATTAAGTATAACTATTAAAATTGTTTCAAAATTAAATTTTGTTGTCGAGCGTTAGCAGGTAGTGACATTTATGCTTTCAAACGTCCTTTCAGGTTATACGATATAAATCAAACAAGATTAAATTGCAATGAGGTTAAATTGAACAATATCAAGTTAGGTTAAGTGTATTCCATAATGATCTTCGCGACAGCAAAGAAACAACACATGCATGTAATAAATATATTTTTCACTTATTTCACGGGCATGAAACAAGATTCTAGCAGACGACACTTTTTATTTGTATATCATATAATTTTTAGTGTACGATTGGCTTTAATCATGGAAACTTTTCACAACAAAAAAAGTACAAAACCTATTCCTTATTACTGCATTTCACTCAATTTTGCTACATTAAAAACACAGTATAAATGAGAACCATCTTTGACAGTATAAGTATCTCAAAAACGTGGGGAGCTGATAAAAAATATTCTGACAACAATGTCATATAATAGGTTATTGACTAGGGAAATTATAGGGGCTTCAGAAAATACACTATTAGACAGCCAATCATGCTGCATTCCGACATTCACTAACTGAAAATCTATAATATTCGTGACCTAAACTATACATTTTCAGTACTGGCAGTGAATAATGCGGAACGCAGCCTCGATTATGATTAGTCAATTTCTTATTTCTTAAAGCTTAAATCAGCTATTATGGATCGACACTAACACAGCGATCTTTCCACCGATGCCTTAATTCATTCCTAAGTCTACAATAGGTGATTTAAGCCTTAAGCCATAAGAAATGGACGAATTATAGTCGAAGAATAGGAGAATAGTCTATGATTGGTCAATTTCTTATGACTTAAGGCTTAAATCACCTATTGTAGACCGGGACTAAGAGAAAAAGTTTTATGATCGGAACTCAGATGCCATCTAGCGAAAAAAAACGGTTTTACATGCGCGCGCAGCTTCCACTTGATGAGAGCGGTGAAGAATTATCACCGAGGGAATCCACGTTCTATCCTAGCAGTCTCTCCTCAATCGATCGACCATGATTTTGAGTGTTGCGTCAAAGGCTGCTGCTGGAGCATTAAGGGCCACAAAGCCCTTTCTTCTACAACATGAAGTGATAAAAGTATCAAGTATTCTCGCCATCAACAGTAAGTATATTTTTTGATACTTAACTTCACTTATAGAATAATCACCTCTTGCGGTAGCAGAAGTCTTGCCGACACATTTTCCTACTTAATTTATTTTAAATTTCGACGATAGTAGTCTATAAAAATAGAAATATATAGGAGATCTGAAATTATTATCTTTATTCACGCCCAATAAATTCCAAATTTTATACAAATTGAAAAGAT